CCCCCCTGCAGAGGCAGCGGTCCCTGTTGCCACAGGCTGGGCCTACCCCTTGCAGTGCTTTCCTGCCCCTCACGGAGAGGCCGTGCATCCGTCTCCTCCTCTTGAAGGAGAGGTTAATTTAAGAGCAATTACTCTTGCTGAAATCAGGGAAATGTTGGTTAGTAGGTCTTGGAATGTAAAGTGCAAAGTTTGGACAGCACGTGAGGTCTTCCTGCTCCCAGGCGGGAGGTACATTGTATACACTGACGTAAGGACGCGAACTTCTCCATTGCAATAACAGGATAACTACATTTTTTAAAGTGAGACCTAGCATAAGCATGTTTGTTTTACTTCTTGCTATTCAGGCCTGTTTTTAATTACCCAATTGGTATTAGGAAAGAGAAAACAGTCTGGGTATCAATAGTTGCAAAGGAAAAAAACTTGTAAGCCCCTGATGTTTTTTTAATTTTGTGTATGAATCAGATGGTTCTGCACAGTGAACTCAGTCTTTGTAACAAGCCTTTTTCTTCAAAGTGGGCAGGTATGGCTACATGTACCTTTGGTGCAAGAACTAGAAGGGATCAAAGGACCACAAGCAACTTTGGAAACATTGAAAGAACTGAGAAGTGAGAAATGCCTTCTGTGTTGGGAAAGCTCTCTGCTAGTGTCACTTTTTTAAATAGAGCATTAGAACTTCAAATTAATAAAGCTGAAGAACAGGTGTTGCTTATAGAATGGTCTTAAGGTACTGGTGGATTTTCAGGTGGTCATTTGAAGTAACAAGTGATGCAAAAAAACCCAAAACATCTTCATTTTGGGGAAGGGTGAGGCATAGCCATAGAACAGGATGATTTTGGTAGCCTGGCTCTGGAGGGAGGAAGACATTCTGAAGTACTGTGAAAAGGCATCCTGGGATTTTAATGATTTTTTTGAGTGTGTATGTGGCTTGAAAATATATACACTTGACATTAGTTTTCAAAATGCTCTATTTAAAAATATTCTTTCTTGCTTTCTTGCCATATTGAGTTAATGTAAATAATGTAGATGACTGTGCCTTTCCCTTCAGTATATGCTGGCAGATCTTAATTTTTCAGATTTTATTTTCAAAACAGGTTTGTTTTTTGTGGTTTGTTTTTTTGTTTGTTTGTTTCTTTCTTCCCCTCTCCTTAAGAAACAAAATCTTAATTTTTATTTCCCTAAACTTTTTTTGGCAGGTGGAATTTTTCTAGGTGCTGAAGCAGGAATGATGGCAGGTTTTGGCACCACACTTGCCATGACAAAGAAGAAGAACCCAGACTGGTTCAGTAAGGTTTGTTCCTTTTAAACTATTTTCTAACTTTGATACACAGGACAGAAGAATTCATGTAATGTGTTGTAGAAATTTTTACATACGTGGATTGTGGCTGAACAAAGTTGATGGTGAGAGCACTAGACTTAACTGGAGTCAGTAGGGGTATGATGAATTTAAAAATCAGTTCAGAGTTGGCAGTGCTAAATACTTTAGAACCTGAGATTAGCTGAAATACATAAAGCTTACACTGTTTGCTGGAATCATCCTACTGCTGTGTAATGGAATATAATTGATGGGCTGTTTTGATTCTGTGTAGACACATCAGCCATGAACCTGTATCACCACAGTGATCCAGTTCACTATGTGGTCGCCACAGTGCTACAGTGAATTGAGGAGTGAGGTAACTGCAGTGAGGGTGGGAATGAGGAGGTAGAAAGCCTGTAAGCTGTAGAATATGTTTACTGGAATAATTAAGTTAAAATTTAGGTGCTCTCTTCCCACCATGTAAGGGGACTGATGAATGTCAGAAGTGTCTTGGTACTATGATATCTGATGGCCAAAAATAATCTGATCTCTCACGATTACTAACAGGATCCACCTGAGCATTCTGAAGAAAAAAATTAGAAAGCAAAGCTAGCAATTATACTGTGTTAGGATATGAAACTGAAACATGGTGTATTTAATTGAAGAACACTTTTTTTTCCTCAGTAATGCTCTGTTACTGCAAAAAATGTAAAAACCAGACCCTTAAAATTGATCAGTCTCATCTGCACTGAGCCCTTAAAAGACAACATCTCTGTCCCAATAAACTCGCCAAGCAGCAGTCAGTGAGGTTGTCAAATGTTAGAATCACCGAATGGTTTGGATTGGAAGGGACCTTAAAGATCATCTAGTTCCAGGGACAGGACAGGCAGGGACACCTCCCTCTAGACCAGGTTGTTCAAAGCCCCATCCAGCCTTGAATCATACAACAAACTGTGGTGGTTACAAAAATCCTTATCTGTGTACATAGTACCCTGAGGAATCAGCCTGTGACTGCTGTCAGTAAAACCAGATCAATTGTTTCCATTTACCACTTTTTTTCTGGGGCAATCAAGCATTTAAATAGCATTAGAGTGGTGTTTTTTTGCCAGCCATTTTCACAGATAATGACTCCTATTTAAAGACTGTGTGTAGGATATTTTTGCCCATTCATTTCCCATCTTCCAAATGGGAGAAATTTTGCCGTGTGTCGTTGTGTATGGTTAGAATATAGAAGCAGCAAAAATGTCAGGAATAATAATGAGCATTTTAAATCTGCTCAAAGCAGTCTCTGCTGAAAGTTCATTAGCTGTGGCAAGGAAATAATAGGATGTGATGTCAGTGTGTGCCTAAAGATCTCTGTTGTTTGTGTCTGTGTGCACGTATGTGTACACTTACAGAACATTGTTTTGTTAACAGCTTCCACTTTGGAATGTCCAAATCAGAATAAATAAGGATCAAGATACATTTTGCTTACGCCCTTTACAAGTGTGTATTTGTCCTTGGATAACTGCCTACAGCTAAATCCTAAGGAAAAGTGTTCATGCTAAGAACTCTCCAAGGGTCATTTTAACATTTCAGTAAATACAGAGCCAAGAGGAAGAAAACACCTGGTGCTCTTTCACTGACCATATACCACAGTGATAGACACTACATTTGTTTAGTTATATTAAAGAGAACCATTATTATTATTTTTTTTAAATCACATTACTTTTAAAGCAAGAATATGAAATACGTTTTCCCCACTTTTTGTGATAAACAGAAAAGTGCAGCTCTGTGGTGTGTTTTGGAGGAAATTTTTTTTAATGCTTCTGCAAGTTAATGTCACTTTTCAGTATTTTAGACTATAAATGAAACAATTCTTTATTGAATATAATTGTATGCTTGCACTCTCATGTTTACCTTTAAGTATTAATTATTTTTTTTTTCCCAAGATAGTAAGTAAGTAGGACTGTTCAGTTGTGTGAGGACTGTACATGCCAGTCTTTAACAGTTATACTCTGAAATCTGTGTTTCCATGTGAAGAATTTAACAGTGATCCTTTTTGGGGAAAAAGCCAATCTTTCTTGCTGAGATTTACCACTATGAGCCAGAGGATTATGTACGTCCTGCTGCTGTTGCAGACTCACAGGCTGAAGCTGCCCTATCCGGTGAACGTGTGGCATGAATTGATGTCAGCCAGCGTGTGACTTATGCCCTTGGTAGCTGCCACGTGTATTTATGTGCTGTGACAGAAAAGGTTTCATCGTGGTTGGGACCGCATCATGGCTGAGGCTCCATTCTTCCTGGCCTGAGGAAGCTTTTCCAAGTGACAACATGTTGTGTTTTCAGGACACATCTCATGGCAGACTCTTTTATAGTAGTATCTTAACAAGTGGTTAAAATGGCCTACTCATGTCTCTGACAAAAATGAGTATGGAGACTGCAGTGTTGTCTGTGTTGCCACTTGCTGAACTCTGCAGGGGGATGGGTTCAGTGTTGCTTGCTTTTTATAAAATTTTCCTAAACAGTTTCCAGAGCTCTTTCAGAGTTATAGCCCCTTGAAATTAGCCTCTCAGTCACTGTTATATCCTGTGTCCAGCTGAAAGCTACTCATGTTCCTGCAGTTTCCTCATCTGCTATTTCAGAAGTACATAGAAGTGCATAGGCTAGTGATTGCCTCCCCACCCACATACTCCCCAAGAAAAAGTACCAAAAAAATGTACAGTGATGTCACTGGCTTGTGACTGGTTTTGATTCATTTTTTTTATTTTGACTGGTAGGATAACTGAGCATTGGAGTCTTCTGCCCATGAAAGAGATTACTTCAGCATTTCTGGGTAATAAAAATTGTCCCCAGCTAGTACTGGCAACCATGAAAGCTGCTCCAGGTGGGAAGGCAGCTCATCCCCCCTGCTTGCGTGGCTCTTTGGGTCTGCTGGCAGATGTGACAGTTTCTGTGGCCACATTAGCACAGCTGGCAAATCAGGAAAAATTCTAGTTCACAGAGTTAGCTTTTTTAGTTCATCTTTTTTTTCCAGTTATTTTTCACTGTCTTCATCACTTTATTTTTGGTTCTAGGGGATTACTGCCACAGCTGCACTACCAGAGAGTGGATCATCACTGGCCTTACGAGCCCTAGGATGGGGCTCACTCTACGCATGGTGCGGAGTTGGATTGCTCAGTTTTGCCATCTGGAAGGCTCTGGGTGTGCACAGTGTGAGTAGCAAGTATGATCCCCTCAAATTCCATATTTTGCCTTGGGCAGTGCATCTTGGGGCGGCATCTCTATACTACTTAAGGTTAGTCACACCTTCATTCACCACACATAGAGTGACTAACCAGAGTTTGTGCGCATGGGGAAGGAGTTCTTACATTTGCAAAAAATGGGATGTTGTGGGATGAGACCACTTTGGGAGAGGAACATATTCTTCCTGCTTATGTTTCTTTGCACAGATGTTTCAGATTATTCACGAAAGAGCCAGTGTTGTAATTTAGAGACTAAAATAGTAGCTGTAAACCTTCTATCTCTTTTGCTTATTGAATTGAAGTGTGAATTCTATGTTTAGAGCAGTTTGTTTATTTGTCCAAGTTCTATTTTTTGCATCAGGACACTAGGGACATAAGAAAAACTGAGAGGAAACCAGCTTGCCTTCTAGTACATTTCTGGAAGGGGCAAGGGAGCAGAAGATTGATTTTTGTGTGCAACAGAGTGGTAGTCCATGACATACCGCATCAAGGCAAAGAAACTCGGGAAGCATTTGTATGTCCCAAGAGGCTAAGGCTATCTTTAGTAAATTGCTTATGTTCTAGTGTTCTGTGGTGTCGAGCATGAACACTGAAGTTCATGTAAGCATTTTTGTTTGCTCCTGGTAATGAGCCATGACTGAAGAGTCCCTCACAGCTCTAAATTTGGCTGAACTGTCTGCACCCTTTTTAGGAATGAATAGACTTCCTTTACTTTCCATGGCAAATTATTTATATATTCAGCAAAGTGTCTCCCTAAACTAAAAAGAAGAAGATACTACTCTATCCCAGTACTGTTCTCATTACTATCTTTATTCAAGCTCTTACTTCTTGTCTACATTGCTGATGTATCCTGTACAGGTCATGAGTTGGGTCCCAAGATACAGTACAATTCCTTATTCCTTACTTTCCAATGTGGATTCTCAATAGGAGCCAGCAAAGGAAGGGAGAACACAAAAAAAAAAGTATAGCAGGATATGGGAGGCGTCTAGAACACATTTTGTTTAAACTCAAGTCCTCCTTGTGAGGCTGTAGTGGAATGGCAGAGAAGGCAGAGGAAGAGTGGGAATACCAGTTTATACTCTCTGCATGCCAAGCTACAAAAGTCCACTAAGTTTACTGTCAGTTTTATCATCAGCCAAAACGGCTCATTTCACACTAGGCTGCTGATTCTTATTTTCATTCTGTTAAAGTACTTCTGGTCCTGCT